ACAGGTAGACCGACAAACCATTTGTTTAGTTAAACAGAAGTAATAGGTTTTTAACGACAAATATAAGTACCGATCGGTGGACGACGTGCTGCTGATAGAGCCGAGCGATTGATTGGCCGGATTGGGCGGCGGGATGTTGAAGGTCTGTATCCCGCTGTTAGGCCGGGAGGGTATTGACTCAGTGTCGCTGTGGTTAACCATCGGTGACATGTTGTTCATCTGCGAAGAGTTCTATGGAAACAATAAAATTAAAGTTATTATAACTCATTACTTGCGAGCACTGGTAGCCATTCACTAACGTTTAGCTGATTTAGATTGTGATGTCCGGAGCTATTGAACAGTGATTGGAGTGCCGTTGAAGAGGAACTGGTGTTATAACTACTGGAACTACTGGACGATAGTTGCTGTGCGTTGGGCGCAAAGTGGCCGGCGTTTTGTAACGTTATTACGAACGGCTTATTAGCACTAATACCGGAGCTGTGGTGTTGGTGTGACTTTTGCTGTAGGGGCGAACCCGTGGCCGATGTGGGGCTGTCGTCAAAGTTTGCCCATTCGTTGGATGAGAGAGACATTGATCCGAATGACTGAGCGAAAGGATCTCCATCTATACCACCAGTGGATTCACTCGTCCCCGGCATCTGAATCACAAAAACAATCAAATAATTAGTGATTACCGCTAAATATTGTATACATTTAACTCTTTGTTTAAAATTAATGTCTTATAAAAAGTCAAACTTTAGGTGCAGTCTTGAAGTACTACTTAAATATTCTGCACAATAAGTGTTAATACAATTGAAAAGCTATTGATTTACTATATTTATAGCACTATAATTAGTTGAAAACAATACAATTGTTACTTAATTGGCGTTCAATTCGTAGACAAAGAAATCAATTATGAAATAAAAATCATAAATCGATCGATGCGTTCATTAAATACTAGTTTAGTGTAAGTAAAGCAAATTATATTAGTATTTACTGTAATATCTATTAATCGTTAGTATTTCACCAGTACTTTGAAAGTGAAATAAAATTCAAGTTTTTATCTCATTTTATGAACTTTTTTCTCATTTCACAAGTGATTTGATAGTCACACTTCATTTGCAAGCTTACTATGAATTCAAGTATTTGTTTGATTGGCACATAAAAACCCATCAAATATTACACTATTAAATTATAAGTGCTTTTTAAAACATGAATTTGTACATAACTCGTACACTATTGAGACACTCATTATATTCAGTAGCGATAAACCTGTGACTGAAATAAAACAAACTCTTTGTTTCACCAAAAAACAGATATCATAAGTGTTTTGAGATAAGCATTCATTAAAAGGACTAATTTGATGCTTAAAAAACTCAATTTCATTACTTTTTCGAGTCTCGCTTTACTGATGCCATAGTCGGACACAAACACGTTGTCCGTCGGTTCAAACGACGAGAAAATGTCCAAATCATTCGCTGTGACGGCACCGGTAGCTGAGCCGGTGCTGCTGTTGGAGTGTAGCGGCGGTGGCGGCGCCGGCATTGATGGCACGTTTGGTGACTCTGAACGCGACGGCCGCAGCGTAACGCTGGACTCGCGGCGAAGGGTTTTGTCATCGTTTATGGCGCCCGAGAGTGCGGACATCGTGTGACTACTGGTGCCGTCGCTGTTACCGATGCTCTCCAGCCGCTTACGTCTCAGTGTAGCCGTAAATAACTGTCCGATCGCTGACTGTAACCACGAATTGAATACAAAATTTAGTTTAAGTCATAGAAATCACTGATTATTTCCATACCATTATAGGCAGCGCTTCCTTTTGAGTCTATATTTAACACAAAATTAATAATGAATTATCAGATTATCGGATGAGATATACGAGTGGTTTTTGGGGGCAAACCTTGAGTGCAATAAACTGATGTCCAGTACTACTGGAGCCGAAGACGTAGCCGAAAGCCCGGGAGTCGGTCTCATCGCGACTGATGAACGATATCTGTGGCACTGAGTGATGGTATATGAGTTCCGATGTCTGCGCGTCCCTTATCTTAATGCCATCAAATGATATGAATAAATGTATTTTGCGTTTATGACCTCCCAGTCCCCTCTGGAGTATCTGTAGATATATCGCGCGAACAAATCACAAAACGTCAAAAAACATGTCAAGAATTACTAATAAAAAATATGACAACAATTTCATCGATAATAATAACTCCTATCCTCTCATCGAAAGAAATGTTTTGCAATTATTTCCGAAAAATAAATAGTTTTTATGTTTTCCCCAATTATTCAAAGAATAGTTCAGTATTTTATCATTGATTACAACATTTTTGTTGTTGACTGAGATTTCATATGAAACACGAGATCAACGACTTATTTGATTATCGGATCATTTGATTAGTGAAACTAATAATTAATTTCCATTTAAATGACAAAACTTTCGTAACAAATAGTGTAGTATTTCGTGTAATAATGTATTCATTGAATTGATAACACAATTAAATCATATGTATTTACAATTCAAAGTCTAATGCTATTATAATTTATTTAAAAAGTAAACATCTCATGGAATTTATTTGCGAATAACACCCACGACCTCCCAGTCCTCTAGCATTTCAATATCAATGATACAAAAAGCAAACAAAAATTTTTATAACAAATTACAGTAAAAAAGATTTTAAACACAAATAAAATCTTTACTTAATATTAAAGAGAATAATTGAAAAATAAGTTTAAAATCTATTGAAGCCTTTAAAAGTTCTCAAAATGTACTGAAAAAGTGTTTCTGACATAAAATTTGAAGTTTTCCATCAAATGTAGTAATCATTGAATTCTCATCTCATTTACAGGACATTCAAATCATATGAAAATATTTGATTAGATATTAATGTGTATTACACTCGAGAGACAAATAACTGATGATTTTTCTTATATTTATTTAGTCTAAAACTTTTTTAATACAAATATTTTTGTTATTTTTATATTGACGTGAAATAAGAGTAAAAATAAAAAATATACGAAAACTAATCGGACTTTAAATGTGTTATCAAAATATGACAAATAAATTATGAAAACCTCGAAAACTCGGCTAATATTTCACACAAATATTTTCAGACAAACGGATAAATATAGATTTAATAGCACTGAAAGTCTAGCATAAATTGAAATTAAATCAAAATAAGCTCACAATTAAGGGTTTAAAATACAGTACTGTATGTCAAAAAATATCCATAAATTCATCAAAATTATCAATCAATAAAAGTTCAAAAAACATCTAAAAATAGCTAAAACTTCCAAACTTGTTATCACACAAAATATCACAAAAACGGTTAAAATGAATGAAAATTTCCATTCAATTTGCAAAACTACTTGTAATTCACAAAAAATTTAACCAAAACTCCACTCAAATGTCAAAAAGTATTATCAAAATGAATGGTACGATACCTTCAACTTCTTGAGGCTCTGTTGGCACATGTGTTCACCTCTGGCTTCGGCCACAAACTCGTGTCCAATGAGTTTGGCACCAAATTGAATGCCTTCGCCGAGGAATCGGTCTTCGGATGCGCCGCCATTCACGCCATTCGTTGCCTTATTGTTGCCATTCATGCCATTACTGTTACCACTGATGCTATGACTGCTGGCGGTGGACGACAACACATTACTGCTACTACTGGTGATGATCTGCGGCCACTTGTGCGACGACACCGCCGATGACTGCGACTTTCGGGTGTGGGAAGACATTGAGCCGCCGGCGCCGCCGTTGTTGACGGCCTGTATGTCGCCATTAGAGCCCTTGTAATCGCCGGCGGATGTGGTCTTCTGGCGGCCGAAGAGTCGCTTTTTGCCAAAGTTTAGCGTTTTGTTCATCTGTTGGCCGTCTTCAGGAGCTACTGAAGAGGCGTCGGTTGTCGTGACGGATGTCTCGTCCTTACGATCATCAATACAATCGCTATTATCGGTGGTATCGGCGCTGAGCTCCGGATGCGGTGGCGATTGCGGTCTCTGGTGGTCATCATCGAGACAGTGGTC